CATTTTACAAGCCAACAGTAAATTGATATTCTTGTATCATAAAGCAAAAGACTTGAAGAAGAACACATTTACCGTCTAGGGAGAGAGAGGTGGAGTGCCTTTCCCATATACAGCACGATACTTAAAGGGCTAGAACACCCACTGCATTCCACATGACCTCCTTTCCTCAGAGGCACAAACTCCCTCCTGAAGAGCCTTGCAGTGACATGGTAGATCAAGACCAGGCTGCTTATTCATGGAGGAATATTCGCTATGCCTCTTCAAAAGTCTGTGACTCTGTGGCTGCAGTTCTTACAATCCTATAAAACCCCTTCCCAAACTCTTCTCTGAGCCTATGCTCAGGATCCTATTTCACTGATATCTTCCTCCCCCCACTTCCTCTTTTCCTGTTCTCTCCAACCTCAAGGCGAAGCAATGCAATTTTTACACTTCTCTCAGAGTCTAACCATGCCAGGCCCTTCATGCCACCACACGTGTACAGAACTGTACCTTGATGAATGCTGTATTATCTGGACTTCAAGATTTTAATCAACATTCAAGTCACTAGCAGGCAGTTTAGCTTTTGAAATTATTCTCTCTCTCTCTCTCTCTCTCTCTCTCTCTCTCTCTCTCTCTCTATATATATATATATATATATATATATATATATATATATATATGGCTTGAATTTTTAATAAATTGTAAATTCTGTGAGACAGGATCAGTCAGTGTGCTCTCATTTATTTTGTATTCTCATATTTTCTTCCAAGGTGTTGGTTACAGTAAAACCATTTGTTGACTTAAATTCAAATTGTCACTTAATTTCCATTTCTTTTTGCCACCTTTTCCCGATTTAAAAAAGGAAACCTGGTGTAGATGTAGGACTGGCAGCTACAACTTTTCATTTACACACACACAAAAAAAGCCTCTCCTTGGCATCACCTAAGAGCCTGCTAGAAATGCAGTCTTGGGCCCCATTCCAGACTTACCAGTACTATATCCTAATCTGTGTTTTTAGCAACATACCCAGGTGATTCTGATACATATTAAATGTGGGAAATGGCTGCACTAAAGAATCCAGTCTGAATCAGTTGAGCATTAATTTTTACATTAAATAAACCAAGGAACTGTCTGCTTAAATATCCATTTTATTATTCATGCAGGAATGTGCATACGTATGTGTGTAATGAAGAAAAAGAGAAAGCCAGAGAAAATTTGGGGAGACATTTCTTTTTTTTCTGTATTAGACTCACCTCAGAAATATTTAGTGAATATATTTTCTATTTAGACTATTATTTCTGCTGTACTTTCCTTTTTCATTTTGGGTAAACATATTAAACCACATAGGAAAACAAAGCTGTCATGATATTACTTCAGAATACAAACACACACACACACACACACACACACACACTTGAGGTATCTAAGAGCTGAATTCATTTGATGAATTTTTTAAAAGCTCGCTGCTTTTTAAAGGCATTTATAATTCAAAGTGTTTGATTAACTTTTAAAGAGTTGAGTGTTGGTAGACTTAAAATCAAAAGGAAAGGCTTGTAGTAGTCTGGTGAATTTTTAGAGTTGGAGAGAAGTAGGAAAACCATGCTCTTAACCTTCTTAGCTTTGATATTTTTGTATGATTCTGTTCCAGTTGCTTAACAGGTCCTCTTTAATCTTCTTTTTATCACATGGCTAGCATGGGGCTAGCAATGTTTCCTACCTGCTCAAAAGGTATTCTTAGAACTCTGGGGAGGGAGGGATGTATGGAGGTGGGGGCAATGTTAAAATATGTACACAGATAATAATTTAATAATAAATAAATAAATAATATATATATTTAAAAATAATAATAATAAATAAAATGTGTGTCCCAAAACTAAAAACTAAAAAAAAAAAAGAATTCCTGGGATAGCCAGCCCACCGAGTATTTTAACTTGCCAAGGACAAGCCCTATAAATATATAGTAGATAACAGTTTATAGATAGTAGTGTGTAAAGGTGATCATATGTAGACATTAGACACTTGAAGAAGTCACAATGGAATTTTAAGACAAAGACCTCCTAAGGGAGGGAAAGGGATGAGAGGTTAAGGAGTGGAATGTATAAACCTTAATGGAGACATTTACATATCCAACAATATCAAACAGTGATGTATTAAGCAAATTCATAATCTATAATAGATAAATGATAAGAGCAATGTGACTTCTGGTGGATAGGGTCAAAACTCCTCAAAATGAGCCTAAGCTGGTTTGGCTCAGTGGTAGAGCGTCGGTCTCCGGACTGAAAGGTCCCAGGTTCAATTCTGGTCAAGGGCAGGTACCTCGGTTGCGGGCACATCCCCGGTAGGGGGTGTGCAAGAGGCAGCTGGTCGATGTTTCTCTCTCATGGACGTTTCTAGCTCTCTATCTCTCTCCCTTTCTCTCTGTTAAAAAATCAATAAAATATATATTTAAAACAAAAACTCCTCAAAATGATATGGTTATTTGGATTGTTGTATTCAGATGTGAGCACCTCATTTTACGAAGAATATTTCCATCCTGATATAAGTCATTCTGCTTTACATTTGTTGATTGATTCATTCCTCACTAACCCCCTTGCCAGCCTGGTCATAGGCAGCCATCTTGTGAAGGTGTTTCCCAGGCCAGCTTGCTCCCTCTCCAATCCAGGACCCCTCAGGGGATGTCTGACTGCCTCTCACAATCCTAGGCAACTAGCTCCTAATCTCTCACCTGCCTTCCTGCCTGGTTTCCTCTAACTGCCCCCTGCTGCAGGCCTTATTGCCCCTCATTGCCTTTGTGTGCCAGCCTGATTGCCACTAACTGCCCCCTGCTGCCTGGTCGCCTATTATTGCCCCCCCCCTCCTGGCCTGGTCACCCCTAACTTCCCCCCTCTGCTGCCCTGCTCGCCTCTCATGGCCTCCCTGCCAGCCCAGTTGCATATTATTGCCCCCCCCCCCCCTGCTGGCCTGGTCAACAATATCAAACAGTGATGTATTAAGCAAATTCATAATCTATAATAGATAAATGATAAGAGCAATGTGACTTCTGGTGGATAGGTTCAAAACTCCCCAACTTCCCCCCTCTGCCATCCCGGTCGCCCCTCAGGCCTCCTCTTCTCCCCCTCCCCACCCACTGCTGGCCTGGTTGCCCCACACAGCCTATTGTTTAGTCATTTGGTCATAACTCACTAACTTCCCTGCCAGCCTGGCCTAAGCAGCCATCTTGGGAGGGTTAATTTGCATATTACCTCTTTATTATATAGGATTTGGGAAGCTAAGTTTCAATGAAGAGTTCTCCCTAGAAGTTATTTAAATATGACACCCTCAGTGCATATGGAATAAAAAATGTATACTAATCTTATTGGAAATATAGGAACTATATAAGGCATGCCTGTAATGTATTCCACTGATGCAGTTTTGCTTCATTATAAGGCTTTCTAAGCCAATGTTTGGGCTCATTTTGGTTTCTTTCTATATGTTACCATTTGCTTTATGCTTTAGAAAGGAACCAGGCTCAGAGCACATCTGGCTCTGGCTGGCCTAGTGTGTGGGTTCTTAACTTTGTATAAGAATGATTTTACAACATGAGTCCAGATGATTTTGAGAATATATTTATTAAAGGTGGTGATAGTAAAATAAAGGAAGGGATTATGATAGAATAGGTAACAGGAGAAAGCAGAGGCGGTGCTCTGCTTTGGCTCTCTAGAAACATTATAGGAAAGAAGTGAGCCAGGCTGGGCTGCATGGACTCACTGAGAAATGTGGCAGAGGCAGAAGTGAGCCAAGGTGGGGGTGCTGTTAGCTCAGTGAAAAGTCCAAGGAAAGGGGGCCTCAGAGACAGGTTCAGGGGGTTAGCCTAATCTGAGATGCCACTGTCTGCTGCTCCCCTGGTTGCAAGTCTCACTAAAACTCCTATAGTTTAAGAGAAAAGGAAGTGCAATACACTAAAAAAAAAAGGGGGGGGGGGAGTTACCAGGGGACTTGCTTCAAGAGGATGCATACACTGTGTCCTTGGTCTAAGGGCTTTTATCTGGAGGTCTCAGGAAAGGATCTCAATATTATATTTATCAGCCTTCCCAGGTGTGTCCTTTCAACATCATGATGTCTATTAAAATGAATTTATTTTTTTCAAAGTAGGGAGCCGTTAATCATTGCAGCTGGTTCTGATGTCAGCCATGGCATCACTTCATCTGTCTTTGCTCTTCTCTGGGCCTGAATCTGAAAAACAACTGAGGCCTACATGATAGCTCGGGGCTTACTGCTCAAGGGAGCGGTCAAGCGAGGACTTTTACAGGGTTCCTGGGAGGCTCTCTCTGGCCTCCATTTCTCCTCTAAGGGGGCTCTAAAACCATGACTAGCAATAAGCCAGGGGAAGAAAGGTCAGGGGAGGGTCCGAACGACATATAAAAGTCAGGGGGTCTAAACCTCACAACCAGTGAAAATGCACTGGAGGAGGAACGGTCACCCTGGAAGCAAAGTTCTTGTTTCCCCAGTTTTGCCATTTGCTAGGCACTCAGGGATTTCCACCGCAGGGACCTGTATCTGGCTGTAAATTGCTCAACCAGTTTGCTCAGCTGTCTCTTTCCCCAACCCACATGCCAAGGAATTTTCCTAGTTCTTACCATTCTGCCTCCCTTCCAGAATTCATATAAAAAAACCTCTACCTCAGCATGGCTTCTTCCTGTTTTCAACTCTATTGTGCATTTAGTATTCCCTTCCTGCATCTTTTTTTGTTGTTGTTGTTATTTCAAGGGGAATGGAATGGGGACCTGAGGAAAGATAAATATGTCTCAGCATCACCTTTGAGCCAAAAGCTTCAATTGTTTAAAAAAAAAGAAGATGAATATTTTAAGATTGAGTGTTGGCAATTGGATGCTTTTAATTATCAAAAGGGATTAGTTGATAAAACAGAAGAAGCTGCTAATCATTGGTTTCTCACACCAGGCGATTCTACCTTTAATTTGGGGAAGCCGTAATGGCCTCGAAAAGAAAGTGACCGAACAAACCCGTCCTTCTTGTTTATCTAGAGATTTGCCTGCTGACCAAGGGACGCCGCACTGCCAGTGTTCGAGCTGACACATACTGTCGTCTTTATTCACTTTCCGTGGACAACTTCAACGAGGTCCTGGAGGAATATCCGATGATGAGAAGAGCCTTTGAGACCGTGGCCATTGACCGACTAGATCGGATAGGTACTCTCTTTGACCTTGTCTTCTTTATGCACAGTTCAGTCTTAATCTAGTGGGCTGACACATATTTGCAGTCATCAGTCCCAGATGCTAGTTCCCAGATGGATTGTTCAATCACATAGAAGTAGCAACTAGCGGTAGCCCTATTTCTAGAAAGATCTGAGGCTCTAGCTTTCTCTCTTCAGTGTTCTAGGTTTACTTATTCATCTCTATTTTTACTAGCTAAGCAATCCGATTTCCCCAGTGATGCCAATACAATTTGAATTTTCTGGTAAAAAGCAATGATAAAAATTCTACATAGCATTAAAATAGAATTTAAAATGCCAATGCCTGTGTCTACATTACAAACCAAAGTGACCACAAGGATTTTTTTTTAAGGTTCAACTTCACATTTTATCCTTATATTAAGAAATTAGAACTTGTGTTAAATAGCTGTCTCAGTAGAAACTTCTGGAAATATTTGTAATGCAGACTCAAACAGGAAAAAAAAAAAAAAAAAAGCCTTGCTAGAAATGTCCTACGTAGATGCTTTCCTTTGCAAATATCAATTTATTTTAGTCTGCTCTGAAATAACAATGTATAAATTAGCCTTACTAGTTACACTAGTTTAAAGAGTTGAATACTTGCCATAGTCAAGTTTCATCAGATCGGCTTGCAGTTAACTTCCCAAGACCTGCTGGGACACTGTGACATCAGCAGTATGCATTCATTTACACACCCAGATCATCCTTCCCAACCTACCATGCTCTGCCCCTTTTCTCTGCTTAACTCTACTAGTCTTCCTTTCTCAGTTTAGACACCCCACCTCCTGATAGGCTGAGTACCCAGGTATGTTCTCCCATGTCCCTGGGGAGTTCCTCCATCACAGCACTGCTTTTAGCGTTGCAATGGCACTAGAGATGCTAAGCTTTGTAACTGCAGAGATCCTGTCTAATTCCCTGTTGCATTCACAGTACCTGGGGTACAATGATTTTTATTGACGAGAGGTAGGGAGGGTTGAAGGAATCGATGAACTTAAGGGAGATGGGGTTGGGATCACTTGAAAGTAAGCAAAGAGGTATTGCAACTGCTTCGCTCTTATTAAGGTAAGGACTTGTGGTTGATGTATAGTTATGTGAGCTTTTCTGCTGCATTTCACACCTTTCTTTCCACCAATGTTAGTAGGATATCAGATTGCATAAGGATCTGAAATTAGGTCAGGAGAAAAAAGATAGCATTTGGGTATTACCATTAGACTTAACACATACCTTAGAGACTCACAATGACAGCACAGAGATTTAACAGGGCATCAAGGAAGTGAGTACTCCTCCAAGCAACTTTACTTAATTTGAAAATAACTTCCCTCATTGTGATGCATAAATGTTCATGGAGAACTAGAGACTAATGTCTGGACATATAAATTCTTTTCCTAAACCAGTTCCACATCTTTAAAGAAAGCATTAAAATTAGGTTATTTCCATAGGAAATATCTCTTTATCTGATACAGCTTCATTCTCCTCTAATTTACTGCAGTTTATGTTTATAAAAGAGGTTTGCATGAAATGGATCCTAATTAACAGTATAGACAATGAAATTGCTACGGTAGTAAGCACCGAACATTTGCATTTTTAATCCTTATAAAATTCTAACAGTACAATAAAAGTTATAGTATTTTTTCCACAAGGTCACAGATATTATTTTATGAAATGTCACAAAGAAATGCAATCCTTATCAAATGTCATCATTTCTCATAAATGTATATTATAATTAGTTAAGAAAACATGCTAAATAGTATGCTAATCTAGAGGTGTTTGTTCTTTGAGAAGTTAGGACAATTCTGAAAGGAGAGAGAGGTAGCTATCCATTCTGTCAGTCATTTAAAATGATCGCAACCTGAAACTAATAGCATGTGTATGTCAGTTGTGCATCAATAAGATCAAAAACAAAATAAAATAAAAATGGTTGTTTTTCTCAGCATCGAGTAAATTTTAGCATATACTTACATTCAAAAATATTTCTTGTTCCTTTAGATGTCATACTTTATGACACTTAAGTGATTTGGCAAATTGATTCCCTTTTTAGATACCATGTTCACCTGGGTATGAATGATGTCATGGAAAGTCACTGATTCAGTTATTCTGCCCCAGAATGCCAGCTAACTGCAGAGCCCTGGGGAGACCATGGCAGGAAGGAGGGGGGATGGTTATGGTGATGAAGTTCTAGAGCGAGCTGAGAACCCACCACATGCTAGACCCTCCCAGCCTTTCAGAAGAGGAAGCCTGTGACATGGTCCTCAATGAGGGCCGCGGAGAAACCCTCCGGGGAAATTAGCTGTTACAGTGTCAAAACCTGGCCCCCACATCTGCTCATCCTGATTTCAGGGGTAGAGTACAGATGGAGCTCCCCATGTTTGAAAGCCCCAGAGATGAGATTGCTATGCAGGTAGGGTAGAGAATCACTGGAGTGGGACACGGGTCAAAAACAAAGTCCTTCGCTTCTCAGACTTGCATGTGGGGAGCTCAGTAGAATGCCGCTTCTGGCTGAGCAGTGGGTGAGGCCCGGGACTGGGGTCCAGCATTCCCAGGAGACAGGTGCATCTGGTTAGCTGAGGATGACCCATCTATGTCCCATTTGCTGTTTTCCCTTCCCAGCTCTGTGACTCTTGGGCATTGTCCTCACCCTCCCTCTGCCTCAGTGCAATGGGTGTAGGCATGCCTCAAAGAGGGAGGTGAATAGAACAGACCTACCTACGGCCTCCTGCAGGATAGGGTGCCTGTCACATGGTAGGCGATCCACTGTCCTGAAAAGAAGCGCATTCAACTCATATCTTAATTAAGGTGACCAGCAGGAGTGTCCCAATTTTTAACAAATTGATGAAAATCGGGACATCTGGTCACCTTAATCTTGATTCCAGGCCCATCCTGGCCCAAACGCCCTTTCTTCCCGGCTCTGCACCGGAGCCCACATGTCCATCTCCCCATTTCTTCTGCAAGATGGCTTTGGCCACATAACGGTTTTTTCAACTTGACCTGGATGGGAGGTGGGACTGTCCCAGGATGATGCAGGAAGCACCCGGGGCAGGACCAGGCTTCTGATGATGAAGGTGAGTAACGGCTTGTTCGGAGCCTCCCCCAGGGCACACTGACAGACTTGCTTTCAGGAGCCACTGTCCCCCGCCCCCAGACCCCGGAGTTGCCACCTGTCGTGGGTGGGCGTTCTAAGCGCTTATTTCTCTCTCGCTGACAGGCAAGAAAAACTCAATTCTCCTGCAAAAGTTCCAGAAGGATCTTAACACTGGTGTTTTCAACAACCAGGAGAACGAGATCCTGAAGCAGATCGTGAAGCACGACCGGGAGATGGTGCAGGCCATCGCGCCTCCTCCGCTGGGCTACCCGCAGACGCCGGGACCCCCGAACAACGCCGCGCCCGCCTCCCGCCTGCGGACCCAGTCGCCGCCCGTGTACCCCGCGACCAGCCGGCCCCCTAGCAGCCTGCACTCCCCGAGCCCGGGCGCGCAGCCCCCGCAGCCCGCCGCCGTCCTCTCGCCCTGCTCCTACACCGCGGCCGTCTGCAGCCCGCCCGTCCAGAGCCCGCTGGCCTCCGCCCGGACTTTCCACTATGCCTCCCCGACGGCGTCCCAGCTGTCCCTGGTGCACCCGCCGGTCCCGGCCCCGCAGCCCCAGCCTCTGCAGCAGCCCCCGCAGCAGCCCCCGCAGCCCCTGCAGCCCAGCGGCAGCTCCACGCCCAAAGCCGACGTGCACAAGAGCACGCAGGCCCTGCACAACGCCAGCCTGAGCCGGGAGGTCAGGCCCCTCTCGGCCTCGCAGCCCTCGCTGCCCCACGAGGCGTCGTCCACCCCGATTTCCAGACCGCACCCCACCGTGGGCGAGTCCCTGGCCTCCATCCCCCAGCCCGCGCCGGCCGTCCACCCTGGCGGGAGCCTGCAGGCGGCGGGCAGGGGCACCGTCCCCCAGAGGGTCACCCTGTTCCGACAGATGTCCTCCGGAGCCATCCCGCCGCCCCGAGGGGTCCCGCCCGCACCCCCTCCGCCGGCGGCGGCCCCGCTTCCGAAAGAGCCTTCCTCAGTCTTAAAAACAGACCCAGAGGCCGAAAAGCCACGGTTTTCTTCGAATTTATGATCCCTGCCCGACGGTTCACACAGACTCGAATAAACCACCCACCGAGGACATTCTCAGATCTTATTTTATTCTATCTCCCGACACATCCCTATAGCCTATGATGAAGAGATATTTTAGACAGCTCTGGCCTACACGCAAAATGTAAAATATATAAATATATATAAATATATATATATACATATACTATTAAATATATATATATATATCTTAAAATCCCAAGGGAAACTCAAAGACTTGTTTAGCATTCAGTGTTATATATGTCTTCCTTGCTTTCAATCATTAAAAGAGGATTTAAAATGTTGTTGTAAGATTATTTATTTTTTAACCTGCTTTTTTCCCTGAATTCCTTCGATATGTGTATTTCTCTATTTTAGGAAGAGTTCTGGGATTCGAGGCAAACAAAACCCTGATTTTTAAAGGGAAAGCTCAAAAGAGCTACTGATTGGCACCAATCAACACCTCTTTCATTAGCTGTGTCTCTGCATCTAAATTGTGAATCAGGCGTTATGGAGGGGGAAATAGCAGATCTAAATTGCCATTTGGTGCTTTCCGTTTTGACTTAGGTTAAAGAACAGTTGCATATGCTTGGCCACAGTAGGAGATGAGCAGCCAGTGTTAGGAGTATCGCTAACCTTAACCATGTTCATTGTTCATTCAGACAGCAGAGGGGATATTTCTCTTCCTGTGTTATTGGACTTTTACCAAGACTCAATCCATGCTAGTTGTAAATAATCTTTTCAGCCCAAATGAAAAATAGCTATTCTGTGCTGAATGAAGGTCAAAGTCATCACTTAAGAATTTAGTTTTATTGTTTCACTTCAAAATCTAGAGTTTTAAATTTTTACAAAACCGAATTGTGACAATTATTCAACTGTAATGCAATGGCTTGAAACCTACAATGTTATTTTAACCTGCAATGTTTTTATGCAAAATTGTATGCTTGACTCTACAAATCGCTTGTATTACACCGAGAACCATCACTTTTCTTCCTTCTTGCCATAATCAAGCATTGGAAAATATCCCTGCATGCTTTTTTATTTTTTATTTTTTTGGCGGTTGGGGGTGGGGGGTGGGAGAGGGAAGGGGTTAAAAGCAGTCATTGTAGGGAAAGGCTTACAGCATTTCTCCTTTCTGGAAAAATATACCAATTTTATTAACTGCCTATCTTAAAATTCCTATAAGTTTGACTCAGATGGAACTCTATCTTAAGATTAGAAGTGAGGTTTTTGCTTTCTTTCAATATGATTACTATTATTGTTATTATTTAAATAATGACTTGTAAATCACAGCTTGATTTGGAGTTGCCTGTGTGTTCTGTCTTCACTGTAGTTGGTAGCTTACTGTGGTATTGACTTAAAGAAAGAAATGCTCATAGCAGCAGCATCTCTGTTGGGAACACATGCTTTGCTCTATGTATACTGTAACTGAGTGGTTAGGAAATCTTAAGGCATATGGTGTTAACATGGGCCTTGGATAGGAAGTGTATTGTCTTAAGAGTGTGAGAAAAGTTTAGATATGGTGACAGAAAGAAGGGGGGAACTGAATGTGAGCATTGTTTGTTTATTTGTCTGTTTCCTTAACTCTTTCAATGATCTGGGAGCATCTTCTCCCTCTGAAGGGAGTCCCTTAGTCCTGATTTGTGCCTAATGCATCCCAGGAACGTGGTGGGTGGCTGGAACACAATTGGAGGATCCCTGGTTACCACCTTCTATAAATAACCCAACTTGAGAGAATGGCCTAGCGTGGAGGTCTTCAGTATCTTTGGCCCCGGTGATACTTTGAAGAACGTAAGCAAGACCCCTCATTCAACTGGAAGGGCCTCCAGATAGACTTGAAGACAGAAAACAAAACAAAAGCAAAAACTCTAACATAGATATCCAGGCTGCCTGTTATGCCTTTTGTGGGAAAAATATCTATAATACCAAAATGAGTCATGGTGTTTAATTTCTGACAGATCCCAACTTGTGCGGATCAACAGTGCTAGTCAATGTAATGTTGTCAGTACCATGCTGGTAACAGAATGGTGTGTCAGGAACGGTGCAAGAAAGGGGTTGTTCAGTCTACCTACATCCTATGGGAAAGCTGCAAGAACATTTACATATCAGTACAAAACTCCTTTATTTTATTAAAAGATGGAGAGTTAATGTCAATTTATTAAGATCATGTATGGATCCTTTAAATTATTAAAGGTTTACATTTGATAGGACAAATGGGTTTGGTAGTGAAATATTTTTATACAATAGATACATTTTTGGCTTTTTATTTCGAGGACTACTGGGAAATGTGAGCAGGGTTGAATTGTATGTTTTTTTTTTTCAGTGCAAACAGAACATTTTTATTCTCTTTGTAACAGAATGGACGAAAAGCTAAGGCTTGTATGTTAAAGTAACAGTGGTGCAGGGTGAATTATTTACATCTATGTATGAATCTATATACTTAGGTGAAGAGAAAAAAAATGACTCACATTCCTGTAATGTAAAAGCCAATTGCTAGTTGACAAGTGACCTCTTTTCTCTGTACCTAGGTAAGCCCATGAGTATGGAGTTTTAATCTGTACAGAAAGAAATGTATTATTGAAAAGATTGGTCTTTCTGCTGCTGGGAAAATAGTAGATAGCTGATTCTTCCAACAACTGTATGATCAGGGATGCGGTAGAGTATTTCTTTTGTCTTTGCTCAAAGCCATACAAAATAAATATATAAAGATTATTAATAAATTCAACAAAATAAACTAAAATCATGAATATTTTATTTTATCAACATAATCCAACCTTTAGTTTTATTACTGAGTACAGATTTGAGTCTGTCTTTCTATCTTTGCATCTTCAGGTTTCTGAGAGGACTTATACATGATAATCATAAAATCAATTATAGATATTCTGTAAGAGTAGAAAGGAATTGAAACAAAACATAGGCTCTCAGCTAATTCTCTATTTCACCTCTTCTATATAGTACACATTGAGTTTTCTCTTTTTAATTCTTTTCTTTGTCATTTCTTAGCATATGGTTGTCCAACTTTAATATACAGACATTTTTCTGGTATTATTGGATATGGGGATTAGAGATAATTAGAAATAAAGCCTGTCATTTATATAACACACGTATTTTATGGTAGTCTTGGGCCTCATAAAGACTTTGCATAAGGATAGAACCTCCATCGAAACTGGTTTGGCACAGTGGATAGACCGTCAGCCTGCAAACTGAAAGGTTCCAGGTTTGATTCTGGTCAAAGGCATGAACCTTGGTTGAGGGCACGTCCCCAGTAGGGGATGTGCAGGAGGCAGCTGATTGATGTTTCTCTCTCATCAATGTTTCTAACTCTGTATCCCTCTCCCTTCCTCTCTGTTAAAAAATCAATAAAATATATATTTTTAAAAAAGAATAGAACTTCCCTACACAAGTAGATTTAGAATGAGATCTAAAAGCTCAAGGTAGAGTTTATTACAGTGAGTGAAGGTGTCCTGAAAACTGCAAGATAAATGACAGGGCAGGAGTATTCATCAAAGAAATAGCCTGTCCCAGGCCTGGGTGACCATTCAGTAGGTGAGTGATTCCCTCTTGGATTCTTGCTTGTTTGTAAATGGCTATGTTGCCATTTAGGGACTGAAATAAGCAGAACCTCTGCAGGACTCTGCACAGCACCATCAGGCTGCCAGAGAAACTCCTGGAGGTCTTGGGTGATTTAGACAATGTGACGTGTTTTGCATTTTAGACATGTGATTTCAAAGCCTGAGATATTTACACTTCCAAGTACCAACATCTCTCTTACCTTTCAGACTTACCGTAAAGTCTCTATGTCTTCCTTTCCAACTTAAGTATTGATGGTTGTTAATTGCACTATGCTGCTTTGCTTCTGTGGACCCCACTTTCATCATTTATGACATTAAGCAGTTTGAACAAGATTGCTCCCCCTTGGACCTCTATCCTCTATCACATGTGTCAAACACAAGGCCCGCGGGCCAAATCCGTCCCGCCAGGCCTTGCAATGTGGCCCGCACCGCGCTGTCATCACTGCACTCTGCTGCGTTTCCATCACAATGACAGTTTATGACTGTTCAGTAAACCATTCGGCCCGCAATTTAGGCTGGATTTTAGATTTTGGCCCCTTCTCTGATTGAGTTCGACACCCCAACCTAGATCAGTGGTTCTCAACCTTCCTAATGCCGCAACTCTTTAATACAGTTCCTCATGTTGTGGTGACCCCCAGGTTGAGAACCACTAGCAGGTCGCCTAAGACCATCGGAAAACACAGATATTTTTAAAAATATATTTCATTGATTTTTTTACAGAGAGGAAGGGAGGGAGAGAGTTAGAAACATTGATGAGAGAGAAACATCGATCAACTGCCTCCTGCACGCTCCCTACTAGGGATGTGCCTACAACCAAGGTACGTGCCCTTGACTGGAATTGAACCTGGGACCTTTCAGTCTGCAGGCTGATGCTCTATCCACTGAGCCAAACCGGTTTCGGCAAAACACAGATATTTACAATACAATTCATTACAGTATCAAAATTACAGTTATGGAGTAGCAACGAAAGTAATTTTATGGTTGGGGGTCACCACAACATGAGGAACTGTATTAAAGGGTTGTGGCATTAGAAAGGTTAAGAACCACTGCTCTAGAACATGTGCCATGAAACACACACGTGGTCCTTTTGTTCAAATGCATTCCACCTAGCAAAGATTCTACATGTGTTCTGCCTATTTGAGAAATTACTTCTGCCCTTCAAATACAAAAGAAATGTGGCCCTTAAAGAAAGTCCGGATGCTGTGCATCAATAGCTATTCTGAGTCTTGAAAGAAATGGTAAAACTTGAAGCAAGTGATACTGGCTGCAGGCAATGAATCACCAGCTCAGTTCTATAATTTCATTCAATATGTCCCTTTTCTGGGAAAATAGGAAGGAGCAAGGACGATTTACTGTTGTATTCAGGGTCAAGTGTACCTGCTACTGGCACTTGAAAGCAGCAACTTTCAAAAGCAATGTTGATCCTTTAAAAAATGGCATCTGTATTTTGTAAACTGGACAGCCATCAGGAAAAGAGCCACTGCTTTGAAAAGAGAACGGGAGAAAATACAAACTCCCTGCCTAAATCCTTACAAACCTGCCAAGGGACCCACATTCCTCCCCACCAGTTTGGAGTTTTTGACTGAAGGCCATGTTCCTTCCTTCTCCGGGAGCAGGTGACATTTCCATTAGCCTTTGTCATTTTGTTCATCATTTCAGTTAGAGCTCTAGGGTTTGAAACACATGAGCTTCTCTAGCTAGGGAAGGATTAATGACATATTCACAAATTTGTTGCCGGAAAAAGAAGTTTTTATTATAATTGTTTAGAAGAGAACATTTGTGATTTTTGTAATGCTTTTCAAAGCAATAGGACTACCCTCTCAGTCCTATTAAAAAGGTGCAATTCCGAGTTTCTCAAAGTAGGATATTCTGATGTCTGACAAGATAAGTATTTCATTTGAGAAATATTAAATAGTATTTAATAAGTAATAGGTTTGAATACATTATATAGAATCCAGTCTCCATACATCTTTATACCAAGAGTCAGATACATATTGAATATATTGGCTTGTAAACAAACACAGAAAGATTCAAGTGATCACTTTCCTCACAGAAATTGTCTTACAATGCTAAACACACATCCCAAAGACACTTACATGAGTCAAAATCTGTTTGTTTGTTTGTTTGTTTTTTAATATATTTTTTATTGATTTTAGAGAGGAAGGAATAGGGATAGAGAGAAACATCAATGATGAGAGAGAATCATTGATTGGCTGCCTCCTGCACACCCCCTACTGGGGATTGAGCCCACAACCCAGGCATGTGTCCTTGGCTGGAATCGAACCTGGGACCCTTCAGTCTGCAGGCTGATGCTCTATCTGCTGAGCCAAACCATCTAGGTTCAAAATCTGTTTGATTATCCAACTCACTGCAGCCTGTAAGACCTGTAGCAAGTTGAGTTGAGTATCCTCAACTGTGGTTTCTCTCTACCTGTAAGAGTTAAGTCCTATTTGGGAATTAACCAAAACTCATTGGAAGCTCTATTAATACAATAAATAATCTAGTTTGGCATCACCATTTGCAGTCACAAACCAAATGTGGGTATTTTTATATGTGGCCCATGATTGTCTCTGAAGGTCTGTTAGAGATGTTGTGAGAGCCTTTAGATGTGGACAGCTTCCCAACAACTCAAACACTAAACATTCTAATGATCTGCAATACTTACCTATAAAGATCTAATAACTGCCCAGCTGGTGTGGCTCAGTGGTTGATTATTCACCCATGAACCAGGTGGTCAGGGTTCGATTTCTGTTCAGGGGACGTGCCCAGCTTGCAGGCTCAGTCCCTGTGTGGAGCATGCAGGAGGCAGCTGATCAATGAGATTCTCTCTTAGCATTGATGTTTCTATCTCTCTCTCTTCCTTCCTCTCTGAAATCAATAAAAACATATTTTGAAAAACTTAAAGAAAAAAATCTAACAACTTTATAGCTTTATATCTAGCTGTTTTTTTACACGCAAAGAAGAACAATGATCAAATGCATTGAGTTGGGCTTCTTTTGCATAGTTAGTTCTTTTTAAAGGGATGATTATTTTCTTTACAACACGTTCTGTATTTCTATGAAGAAATGATACTGATAGCCAATCTAAAGTAACCCCTGCCCTTATCCCAGCACATCATATTTCTCAAAGTGCATGTTTCTATGATGGCAAAAAATAGCAAGGTTTGGTGCAAAAAAAAAAAAATTGAGACATTTCTAAGTGTTATATCCTCCCCCCTAAATTATGAAATATTTGACAGCCTGATGCTATATAAGAAAACCATGAAAGGTGGCTGTAATTATTATTTATTTTACATGAAAACCAGCAAAATTAGGGGGATTAGCCACCAGCCCAAGCAACGTCACTTCACATCTCAGTTCTTAATGATCTAGTCTCACCTTTTATACATAAACTCAATTCCACACGTCTACCTCCGCACCTGACCAGGAATTGCTTCAGCATCCACAGGGCTACCGCCTGGTCCTCACAGGGAAGCCACCTTTGCTGACAGTCTACATTGAAAAGACAATTCAAGAGCAGTGCATGTAGGGAGGGGAGGTGACATTGAAGGAGATCAAACATATCTGTGAGGGCTTTCAGTATTCACTTCAATAGTGAAGATGCCACAGTATTAGTTCTAAAGAACAAAGGAGAATCTGACATTGAAACATTTATGAAAATTTACTTCCAGAAAATAATGGATATAGTTTATTGTGAGGGGCTGATGTTTGTCATCACATTGTACCCCCTTCTCCTTACTTTCCTTCTGCTATATTTTCATAGATTCCTCAGTCTCTTTAAAGATGTTTCTCATGGACATATTTACCAATGTACTTAATAATCTCTTTGCTATGACAAATCCTGCTGAGTAAGCCTGTGCTTTTGTTTATAATGGAGCTAAAAATGTGTGCCTTAAGCAAAGATATGCATTTCCAATGAAGCCATAAAATCTTCCTTAACCTGTTAACCGGGGAGTTCCCTTTTTAATTACGCAACGTACAACGGGCGCATACTCTTTCACTAGGACGTGTCAGTACGTCACGCCCAGAGGACGTAATTTTAGATTATTATTTTATTTATACTTAATTAAAATAAATGAAATATATATTTTTTCATTTGTTTATATATAAAGCACAAAGGAAAATACAAAATTACAAACAAATAGAAAAGAATACCAACAAAAAAATGG